CCCACGCATCTTTTCAAAGAAACACCGATGTCATCACCCAAGTGAAGCACTTCCCCGGGCACTTAGTGCCGTGCTAAGATTACCCTCTCACCCCTTCCAGCTTCCCAGGTGCTCAGGCCAGTCCCGAGACCCCATGAGCCGAGGGCACGGACTTCCTGTGGCCTGCCACGGGCACGCGAGACCCAAAGCCCACTGTGTGAGTCAGGGCGCCCACCAGCGCACACACTGACCTGCAAACACACCCGCACGCTTGAGTTTCCCGCCAGGCGGGGGGGAGCGTCTGAGTCCGGCGGCCACAGAGGTGGCGGCCTCAGCTCCGAATCCCAGCAACCCCCTTGGGCTGTCATCTGCGTGGCAGATGTCTCTTATCTGAGACACGGGAAAAGCGTGCCCGCGTCTGCGCAGGAGCGCTCTCTGATCCGAGGGTATTTTTAGAACAATGAGCCTCTGGAGGGAGAGCAGCAGTGCCTGTGAGAGACGGAGAATCTGCGAGCTGATGACCTGGGTCCAAGCCTGCCCACGACTCATCAGGGGTCAGGAGGGCCGAGGGCCGGAGTGCCCTCGCCTCCACGCCGGGTGCCGCCCGATGCGTGTGAGTGCGTGTGTGTGTGCGTTCCAAGTGTGGCCGGGACCCAACAAACAGCCGTGCCATTCGGGCAGGCGTGCCGCTAACTCTGAGCTCCACTGAAGGCGCGCATCACCTCGGCGGCTCCAGTATAACAGCCCCACGTGTGGGTGAGGCGCGTGCTGGGCGCGGGCGGGATGAAAGGTGCGGGCCTGTGCCAACTCTGTGTTCGTCCCGCGTTTGAAGGCTCTGGCAGGTCCTTTGATGGGCTGGAAACCCACTGCGAGAAAGAACGCCGGGGAAGTGGGCCGGGGATGAACCTTCAAACGGGCACTGACTTCTCAGGCGCACAGAGGCAGAGGGAGGAGGTGCAATTAGCATGAAAAAGATCCCTCGGAGAGGGAAGACCGGTCGGGCCTGGGAGAGCAGCAGCCCGCTGGTGACTGGGGCTGCTATGCCCGCCCGAATGGGGCGGATGTGGTAACGGGCACGGGAGCTCCGCACAGGGGCGCATGTGCACTCAAGAGCCTCGAGGGCTCAGGCCTTGCCACTCCCTGCTCTCAGCAGCCCCTCATAGGACCCCTCACGGTCAGCAGCCCAGATTTCCAGATTTCCTCGCATCTGAATGAAGCTCGGGAATCTGGAGGAACGTGATCGCCACACTCCCACACCCCTCAGGGAGGAGGGGCACAGGGGCATTTGCTCTAATCACAGAGGCAGAAAGACTTAAACCTGGGGGGGGGGAGAGAGAGTGAGAGAGAGGGAGGGAGAGAGAGAGGGGGGGGGAGAGAGAGAGAGAGAGAGAAAGAGGAGAGAAAAGAGAGGAGAGAGAGAAGAGAGGAGAGGGGAGGAGAGAGAGGAGAGTGAGGAGAGGAGAGAGATAGGAGAGAGACAAGAGAGGAGAGGAGAGAGAGCGAGAGCGCACATGCCACCAGGCTAAGCTAAGCACATCCTTTACGCGCAGGTCATCTTGGGTTTGATGGACTCTTGGCTCCCCCATCATGCCCCCCCAGCCCTGCTAGAAGTGACTCCCCACGCACAGCCAAAACAAAACGGTAATGAAAGAGCTAAACCTCTGTGGTTGTCCAAGCCTGGTGCCCTCATACTTCATGACCATGCAGCAGAAACTGGGCGGAGGGGGGTGGGGGTGTCCCACCACACAGGACAGACCTGGTGGCTGGGTAGCCAGAGTTGCATCCTGGTCATCCCCACGGTCCCAGCCTGCTCTGGGGCAGGCAGCTGGACAGCGAGTGACCTCCCAGCACTTGCTGGACCTGGGCTCACCCTGGGAAACAGACACAGTCCAGCCTGCTCCTTCTGGCCCCAGGGCGGAAGACCCCATCGCTGGAAATCTCAGGGTGAGAGCCCGGAACAACAGCACAGCGGGGAGGGCATTTGCCTTGCATGTGGCTGACCTGGTTCGAGCCCCCCGCCCCCTCCTCCCCCCACATCCTGTAAGGTCCCTTGAGCACGGCTAGGCGTGATTCCTGAATTCAGCGCCAGGAACAAGCCCTGAACATCGCCGGGTGTGACCCAAGACAGAACCAAGAGCAAACACCCCCTCACAGAGCCCAGAGCAAGGTGGCCAGGGGCAACCCCCACCCCCCAGAGCCCAGAGCAAGGTGGGCAGCCTAGAGGGCGCCCAGAGCTGGCCCAGGGGCTGCGGCTTTAATGACGACAGAGTGTGGAACAGGCTGGGCACAGGCGCTGGCGGGAAGGGAAGACACCCTCGCAGGCACGCTCATCTTCGACTCCTTTCAAGCACGACAAGGAGAAGCTCCAGCACCAGAAAGGCAAACGACAACAACAACAACGACAACAAAACAAACCCTGGTAAGGCCCACCGTGCTGGGGGCCCCTGGGCCCCTTGGGAATGTGAAGCTGGCTGCGGCCAACAGGCCTGCATGTGCCCCACAGACTGGCCCCCGGCTGTGCGGTGCTGGCACTGCTCCACGCCCCTGCGATGGCTTTCTCATGTGCCCAGACACGAGATGGGCTTAGGGGCTGGTACTCTTCTTGCACGGCCAGTTAACAGTGACACCTGGTGGTAACAGGCAGCGAGGTTATACCCGCCCTCCACCCCCCCACCCCCCCTAAGCCGCGAGATTTATGCCCCTTCTTACAAGGCACATTCCATAGATAAAAGCATTAAACTGGAATGGCTTCGCCCCTTCTCAGCATTTACAGCCTCAGTTACATCAACCACCCCTGATCAATTTCCATTTCGAGAGTTTATAGCCTGGATGTAAAAGCCCGCCACCGAGGCTCTGTTTAAAATGACAAATTAAAAAAAAAAAAAACGCAAACACAGGCTGCGGTCATTCTCTGAGACCCAGAGAGGCAAGGGGACAGGGGAAAACTCCCCAAGGGGGTCTTGCCCGGAGGTCCCAGTCCCCGGGCGTTCCCAGCTCAGATGGGACCCCTCCTTCCTGGTACCCTCCTCAGCCCCAAGGGCCCAGCAGCCACTTCCAGAGCGAGTCTGCCCAGTCACACAATGCGACGTGGGATTTTCCTGATGCTCAGGATGGAGCGCGGTGGGGGCTTGGGGACACTCTGGCTACGGGGCTCCCTGCTGGCAGCGAGTAGGAGTGTTCACAGGGCTCCGGCCCTGTGACAGCTCTCAGGGGGCGCGCGCACGTCAGGCGAACGCCTTCGCTTCTGGAAGGGACCAGAACTCAGGACAGTCGACCGGACGGATGGCGTGGCCACTGCCCAAGCGGGGCAGCCTGGCTTTGGCCGCGGAGGTCCAGCTGTTCCGAGACCAACGGTTCTCCCACCCACCTCTCGTCGCTCGGCAATGAGGCCGCAGAGAGGCCAGGCTTCCCATTGTCTCCGGCTGTGCCCCCACTCCAAGGGCTGATTAATTTCGGAATCAGGATGCCAAATCAGCTCCTGATCAAGAATGAGGTCTCCCCCCTCTCCTCCCCGACTTCGAAATAAGTTTGCAGCTGATGTGTCTGTGAAGCAATCAACCTTGTGCTTCCTCCCCTCCCAGCCCATCAGGAAGGAGGTCATCTGACTCAACCCCTAAGAAGAACGAAGAACGGAATGCGCCAGAGCAAACAAAGCCCGCAGTCAAGTGGTCTGACTGCATTTTCCTCCTCCCAGGCACCTTGAATACCAACTCAAGATGCAGCAGGGGCCAGGTCTGGGTTTAATTGCAGAGAGAGAGAGAGAGAGAGAGAGAGAGAGAGAGAGAGAGAGAACCAGAATGAAAAGAAAGAGAACCATGAATATTAGCTTGTCTGATGAGTCTAACAGGGAAAGTCAGGTACGGGTGGGGTGCGGAATGCTGAAATGGGGCAGGGAACGGGAAAAGCCGACCCCTATGACTCTTGGTTGTGGCAGGTACCCAGAAAAAAGTACTGAAAGGTGAATTCACCACATTCTTGAATGGCAAAGGCAAGTACTGGAAGATGAATTCATCACATTCTTGAATGGCACTGCCTAGGGGAAGCCCTTCCCCCACGAGTCTGTGTGTGTGTGTGAGTGAGAGTGTGTGTGTGTGTGTGTGTGTGTGTGTGTATACAGTGGGGGAGGAGAGGGCTGGAGAAAGGAACAGGTTGGGATGTGCCCCCGCCTCGTGCGTGAGACACCGTGACTGATTCTGGGCCTAGGGGATGTGACAGGACAGGGACAGGAAGAAAAAAGGGAACTGGGGAAATCAAGAGCAAAAAAATTGTAAAGGACAATAAATCAATTCAAAACGGCATTTCCGTCACTCTGGGGCGTGCAAGGTATGCGTGAGAGCAAGTGGGTTTCTCCCAGTCTTGGCTCAGCCTGCAGGGAGGACTGGAGTCTCCCGGTCCAGGGAGGCCGGGGCTGGGGCCCTCGGTGGCTGTGCAGGGGATGGGGTGGCGTGTGTCCAGGAAGCGGAGCTGCAGGCCCCTCCGGCCCCTCGCCTCTGGCAACCCCAACCCTGGGAAAAGGGGCTCAGAGCACATCTCGGACTTCAATCTGGGGAAATCTGCTGTGCTCCGAGTTTGAGCTGCTAAGAAAAATCCTCCTGGCTGTTAGAGGTGGTACAGTTATTCTCTAATAAGCAAAAACTCTTGAAACATGAATCACATAATTGCAGAGTTAGAAAAGGCCCTTGAAGCCGCGATGCCTGTTAGGGTGGGATGAATGCCGTGGATTCTCTGTCTAGAGGAAAAAAAAAAAAAAGCAAAGCAGGGATGCAACTGACTGCTCGCCATACACCCATCTGCCAACGAACACAGAGCCTGGCAGAGGGGAACCCGGTGCTTCCACGCTGAATACGGAAGGGAAGGGTCTCGGAGCAGGTCTCTTCAGAGTGGGCCCCGTCCAAGGCCTCATCGGACCCCGGCAAGGAGAGCCAGGAAAGAGCGGAGACGCCTCGCCTGCACTCACCATTAGCAAATCATCCATAATTTAGAACAAATGTCGGGAGATGTGGGTGATCAAGCACACGTACCTCCTGGCAGCCTCCTGTAATTTCACGGGCTGTTTGGCGCTGAGGTAAATCACGCAGGCACCCGCCACTTTATTCAGGTCACCCTCACCTGCAGAGGGAAAACAAAGCGAGCGTCAGGCCCCGGACGTCGGCAGGGCGAGCACTCGCCAACTGCAGTCTGGCGAGGCCGGGCACCGCCAGGCAAGGTGCTGGGGTTAGCGCAGGAGGCTACAGCAGGACGAGCAGGTGAGCAAAGGCCAAGAGAGATCCCAGGGCTCTCTCTGTCGTGCCCTGGCCGAGAGGCAGGGTCGCGGGACTGAGAGGAGGGCGCCAAGTGGGACAGGACCTGCAGGGAGTGGACCGGGCAGGGAGAGGGAGGAGGGGCGTGACTGTCCCCTACCCACCTAGGTCCAGTCTCTCGCAGAGGGGGCCCAGGCCCTGCAGGACAGCCAGCTGCAGTTTGAAGGCCAGCGTGTGGGAGTAGATGGGGCCGGCCCTGGCACTGACGGGTGCCTGGGCCCCTAAGGAGCTGGCCAGCTTCGGCAGGACGTCTTTGCAGAAGCGGCTCCGGAGGAAATCGCCACACGTACCTCCCAGCGTGCGGACCACCTGCGGAGACAAAAACAAAAAAACAAAACAAAACAAAAACCAAAACCCAACCTGGTGACGGAGCAGCGCCCAGGGGTGTGGTGCTTGGTGATTCGATTGCATCTAGATTCTGATTGAAAACAACAACAACAACAACAACAACAACAACAACAAAAACCAACAGCGAATCATCGCTGCTAATTCCTTGCCCGTGGTTTCTGATTCTGACAGTTATGAATTCGGAGGTCCCCGCTCCCAAGGCATGTCTGCTTCTCTCCATAAATACAGATAACGTGGAAAATAACTCAAAGGAATCTGGGGTGGGATGAGTCATATGATTCACACCTTGGTTTTTTCATAAAGAAAAAAACAACAGGAGAGCAGACCCCGACATCCCTTGATCAAGCTGAGTCATTCTACTCTGAGGCCCGCCCGGCTGCCGCCGCCGCCACGGGCAGTGGCCGGGCCAGGCCTGGGCAGGGTGCCCGGGGGGGGTCAGAGCTGGGCCAGGGTTCTTTCTGTCCCCCGGCACCATCTCGCTGTCATTGGCCCTCCTGCCACGTCTCCCGACAGGCCGCGGCTCTGCGTGGCTCGTTTTAAACTTCCTCTAGCAGAACATATTGAAAGGTTTTGCCCCGCTGCACAAGACCAAGTCAATGGGATAATAAGAATTTCTTTAAAAATTGGTTAAGGGCAGGGTAACCAGCTGAGAGAGTGCACGGCGACTCCGCAGACGCGTATTTCAGGCCCTCAGCTGAGGGCAGTTCACACGGCAGTTACAGAGCTTGTGTCGTCACCATCGAGTGGGGAAAGTGGCCTTGGTCCCGGCACACACGTCTCTGTACGTGGAAAAACCTGAGCCTCTGAGTAAGGCTGAGTAAGACCCCTCTCTCTCACACAGACGCTGCACGTTTCTGTGGTTTTGGAGAAAATCATGAAGTCTTACCTATTTTAATCTTTTTTTTTTTTTGCTTTTTGGTCACACCCAGCAAGGCCCAGGGGTTACTCCTGGCTCTGCACTCAGGAATTACTCCCAGTGGTGCTCGGGGGACCATATGGAATGCCGGGAATCGAACCCAGGTCAGCCGCATGCAAGGCAAACGTCCTCTCCATTGTACGATTGCTCCAGCCCCTTATCTATTTTACTTTTGTTTCTATTTGGGGGGCTTACTCCTGGCTCTGTGCTCAGGGATCATGACTGGCAGGGGTTGGGGAATCATACCAGGTGTCAGGGATCAAATGCAAGTCAGCTGTGTGCAGGACAAGTGCCCTAGAGCCACGCTGGCAGTCTGACCCTGCGTTCTGCTTCTGGGGCCGCACCCGGTGGTGCTAACAGGCTATTTCTGCCCCCGCGCTCATGAGTGACTCCCAGCAGTGCTCGGGGGACCACATGAGGCGTTGGGGATGGACTCAGATTCAGTCAAGGCAAGTGCCTGACAGACTCTTCCACCCCTCCACCCTCCGGGCTTTACATGGATGCTTGCAGTTCGGTCCAACATATACTGAAGAAAATGACTGAAAACTAACATTTATTTTTGGTTTGGGGTCATATCCAGCTGTGCCCATGGCTTATTACTCCTGGCTCTGTGCTCACTCCTGGAGTGCTTGGGGGACCATCTGGGATGTCGGGGATGGAACCCAGGTTAACCGCATGTAAGACAAGGGCCCTAACCCGCTGTGCTATCGCTCCGGCCCTGAAAACCAAAAGCCTCTTTCTAAGAGCATTGGTTGCGTTTCTGGCTTCACCTTCTGTCCTACACAGCTTTTTGCTTTGCTCGCTGTAAATTATGTAAGCTTGCTATGGCAAATGTATCTCCGTAGGCTGCCTTAAGTGCTTTTTAGAACAAGGAAGGGCAGACATAAATAAGCTTAAATAAGCATGCTAATATAGCCAAACCAAGTCAGGGAGAACAGTGCCTTCTAGCTGTACGGGGCTTTTACCTTTTCACAGCACTCAACCCGTTTCTTTTATGTTGGACAACAGCACTATGTGGAAAGTGGGCAAGGGGTGTGTGAGGCCAACGGGAAAGTAAGAACGGGAGGTGGCTCGGCGGGGGCAGAGGACGTGCCTTGCCTGTGTGAGGCCCTGGGTTCACCTCCAGGCATTGCATGGTCCCCAACAACACCCCCCCACCCAGCAGTGGGTCAGGGATAGTCCTTGAGTACAACTGGGAGTGGCCCTAACCCCCAAAGAGAAGGAATCCCAGCCTGAATGCAGGTGGTCCTGGGCTTTGTCCAGTGTTAGCAGTGGGGGGCCTATGATGTCTGTGGCCAAAATCTCAGCCCTTTCACCTTAACTCTTTTTCTTTCTTTCTTTCTTTCTTTCTTTCTTTCTTTCTTTCTTTCTTTCTTTCTTTCTCTCTTTCGGGGTCACACCTGGCAATGCTCAGGGGTTATCCCTGGCTCTGCCGCGTGCAAGGAAAATGCCCTCTCCCCTTTCCCGCACCTTAACTCTTGAGCAGTGCAAAGAACAAGGGTGTGAACTCAGAGTTTGGGGTCAGTCGCCATTGTGAGAAAACCTTCAGGCTGATCTGGACATCGGCGATGGGGGGCACAGCGCCGACCCTGCTGGCCGCTGTAGGGTGGAGCTGACCCACAGGGTGCTCGGCACACAGTGGGGACCTGCTCAGCAAGCATCCCTGACAACGCGACTCCACGGGGAGAGAAAGGGAAGCCTGGGTGTTTTTCCGTGCTCTTTTTTAATTTTTTTCAGTTTCTGGGCTCACCCCTGGTTTTGTACTCAGGGATCATTCCCGCGGGGCTCAGGGGACCATATGGGGTGCCAGGAAATGAACCCCGGTCAGTCAAGGGCAAGGTAAATGCCCTCCCCGCTGTACTCCCTCTCTAGCCCCCTTTTTTCCTGTGTTTTTTCTTCAAGGTGTATTCCACTGTGGTCAGGGAAAAAGAGAAGTCTGGGACCAGGGAGATGGCTCAAGGGCTGGAGCATCTGCCGTGCAGGCTGGAGGGTCGTCAGGCCCCGGCACAAAGCGCTACTGAGGGAGACGCTCAGGCACCAGCCCGACAGTGACATGAGCTGGAAGGAGAGGAACAGATCTAGAATGACTGCATTCATTTGTGGGATATTTCATATATATATATATATATATGTATATATTTTACCCAAGGCCAGGAGGACTGGTCAATGGTTGGAAGCTTGCCACAAGAGTGTGTGAGGGGAAAGAGCAGTTAGGAAGAGAGGGGACCAATATGACAATAATAGTTGGAAATGATCATTTTGGAAAGGAACTGGGTGCTGAAAGTAGGTAAAGGGATGTATCTGATAACCTTTCAGTATCTGTATTGCAAACCATAAGACCCAAAAGGAGGGGGTGGGGAGAGAGAGCCCCCAAAGACAGGGGGCGGGGCCCTGGGGATGGACGACTGTCGCTGTACCTGGAAGGCTCTGAGCACGGCCAGGGGGTCATCGTTTGTGAGCCGGTGCACGAGCGAGGGCCAGGCCCGGTGCGCCAGGGGCAGGAGCTGGTTCTTGTGGGCCTGCAGCACCACCACACACAGATCCAGCACATCCAAGACCTGAAGGAAACAGAGAGCGGATCTCAGCGCCGGGGACCACCACGTCCCCGCAGTGAAAGAACGCAAGCGGGGAAGGACGTTCCTGGGTCGGAGTCACGGGCTATGGACTGGACACCCGGTCCCGGCTCTACACTGGGGGAACAAAACAGGTTTCCTCCTGTTTGTGGGGCGTATACAAGATCCTAGCTGGGCAATGGCTGGAGAAAGGGCCGATTACCAGGGTGGTGGGTGTCGGGGAGGGAGGGATGTAGAAGGGAAGGCGCAGAGAGCTGCGATGGCCTCGGGCAGAAGCAGCCCTTGAAAGGGCGCAGGAGGGCAGGGAGTTCCAGAGCCGGAGCTGCTACAGGACAGTGGGGAGGCCGCTTGCTTTGCTCTTGGCGGCCTGGGTTCTACCCCCAGCATCCCAGATGGTCCCAGATAAGCCCTGCCAGGAGTGACTCCTGAGTGCAGAACCAGGGGAAACCCCTGAGCACCACTGGGGGTGCCCCCCCCCCCCACCAGACCAGAAAGGAGTCCTTTTAAGTGGAGGCGGGAGCAAGCAGGATTGCAGGGCTACAGGCGGGCTGGCGGGCTGAGGAGCCAAAGCAGGGCGGGGGTAGGCACAGAGCGGAGAGGGGCACGGTATGGTGACGGGGTCATGGTAAGAGTTTTCCATTCTGTACTGAGGTCTCGGCTCACTATGGCTGGGTGCCGAGAAGGGAGATGCAAGACACCTCCCCAGGGGCAAAGTCCCTCCTCCGCCTCTTCCAGGTGCCATGGGTGGACGGGAGACAAGGGCAGCAACTTGCCTGCCCACGCGGCCACCACGGCTGGGGCCAACCCTCAGTCCTGCTGCTCAGGGGATGGGGGAAAGGGCGCCATGCTGACCTTCAAGCGGATTTTCAGACTCGGGTCCGCCAGTAAGTGGATGCAGCGCTCCATCACGGCTGTGGCTATCTGGACCTGCACGGGCAGTGGCGGCTCCACGTGGGGGCCGGGGTCAGGCTCGTCGGCGGGGGGCGGGCCCAAGTCCTCCTCTGGAAAAAGGATGGGGCCACGGTCAGGGTGCTTAGGTCAGGCCCCACGCCCACCCGATCTCCCAGCCTCGGGCTCAGAAGTGGGACTTGGGAGAGAAAGTGGATGAAAAGCACGAAAACTACGGAAGCCAAACAAAACGTGGAGTCAGGATCTTGCTAGAGGGATTCGCGGTGGCGGACGGAAATCTGCAGGGCACCCATGGGAGGGACAGCCTCGATCCCGTGGCACAGGCACACAGGAGGGGGCAGAAAATGTGGCCACAGCGGGCTTTGCTGCTCCAGGGACATGCTTTGGAAGAGGCCGTGTTAAAGAGAAGGAAACACGGGACCGCACACGCAGGCCCGTGCAGTCCTCTCCATTTCTGCAAGAGCAGAAGCACGACAAATTACAACCCGGGGGCTGGAGCGACAGCACAGCAGGCAGAGTGTTTGCCTTGCACGCAGCCGATCCGGGCTCAATCTCCGGCATCCCAGATGGTCCCCCCGAGCACTGCCAGGATTAATTCCTGAGTGCAGAGCCAGGAGTAACCCTTGCGCATTGCTGTGTGACCCAGAAAAGTAAAAAAGAAAAAAAAAGCCCAAACAAACCAAATTATGAACCAATGGTGTCATGAGATAATAGCTGGTTTTACTTCTCCCTGACACCTTTCGTTTTCTCTAAACTTCCACTCAAACGTTTGCGGTTTATTATTCTTTTTTGGTTTTGGGGCCACACATGGCTGGATTCCGTGGGGGACCAGAGGGTGCTGGGGGTCAAATCTGGGTTGGCTCTGTGCAAGGCCAGCACTGTATCTCCGGTGCTATTTCTCCAGCCCCCATTCATACATTTTAACTAAAAACAGGCAGAGTCTCCTGCCCCCGCGCCTGGCTGTCCTCACCGGGACTTCTTGGAGGGGGGCGGGTAGAGTTTCCCTCCCCGCCCCGCCCTGCCCCGAGCAGAGCCCTGGCAGCCGAAGACCTCCAGAACCAGCCACAGTCATGCTGAGACCACCCTCCACAAGTCCGGACAAGTCTCATGCAGAGGAACCCAGGCATGCGGGTTCCGGGGCTGAGATCTCCAAGCCTGCTCAGATCAAGACTGGGCATCCTCCACCCAGATCCTCCATCTTCCAGTAGGCAGGCGTCACACCCACCAACTGCCCCCAGTGCCAGGTAATCCCATCAATGGCCAAGACTCAGAGACTATAAAACCCAGCTCCCGGAAGCGCGCAGCCGCATTTGCGGCTGTGCGACATCTTATTATCTTGTTTTTACTTTGGAGAACCCAGCAGGCAACCAAAAGTATCTTGCCCGCACGGCAGAGTCTGGCAAACTCCCTGTGGCGTACTCAATATGCCAAATACCAGTAACAATGATGGGTCTCATTCTCCTAACCCTGAAAGAGCATTGATTATGGCATTTTTTAAAATCTCAGGGCTAGGACGAAGGAGACGTTACTGGGGCCTGCTCGAGGCAACTGACGAACAACAGGATGATTATGATCGTGATCGTGAACTAAAAACAGAAATGGATAAGAATCTGATCTGGGGTCACAAGGCGGGACAAATTCCTTGCTGGCTTTTGCACTGCCTTGTACACGGAAGAGGTCCCTTTTCTCCTGGGAAGGTGGCAGGCACCCGTCTTCCCTGTCACTCTGAGATCTTTGGGCGGCCACGAGCAAGCCTTATGCAGCTCGTATGAGAGAGATTCTGGTGGCAGCCTGGTGCACCACACAAAGAAAGGGCCTGTCCATGGTGGGTGGGCCAAGCCTGGCCCCACAAGCCCTTGGCAGCAGCCATGATTTCACAGGATGTCATCTGACATTGGGGAGGGACACTGTGGGCCAGCCATGAGATGGATGACGCCGGTCACTGGCCCTCACTGCGCCAGTGGCCCTAGTAAGTGCCTCCCTCCCGTGACCCACTGGCCTCATTTTCCTAGCGCTGGGCTTGGGACTTTCCCCCAATCCAGTTTCCTCTGCTAGAAAAACAGAACGGTAAGAACGGTGGAGGCCAACACCTGTTTCTACCAGATGCCGAGAAGATAAATGGAAATGCTTTTCCAGAATGCCTGGATTTCTTGGAGGAAGGGACCTCCGATGATGCACAAGGTGCTTTTATTGTGCTTAAAACAAAAAACACATGTCACATGGGCGCCGCCCCGACATTCTTTATAGTGCCAAGGGTGTGGTGCGCACTTGACGAATGATAATTCTAAGGATGATAAGGCTTTGCTTTTTCTTCCCAGGGGAGACTTTGTTGTTTGAAATGCACCTATTGCAGAATGTGATTTGAAGGATGGGAAGTTCTTTGTTGTGGGGAGAGAGGTTTGATTCATTCAGGCTGCGGCTAGCAAACATCAACCAGAGCCAGGAGATCCTAATCAGGAAAGAACAGAGCCCGTGACAAAGCCCGGGTTCAAGCAGGAGGACAAATAAGGGGTTATAAGGAATCAAGAGCCCCTCCCCGCTACTTCTCCGGGACCTGCGGGTTTTGGGGTGAGGGCTGGCAGAGGAAACGAAGGAGGAGGATCCGGCTGGCAGAAGAAACAAAGCCAGAGAGAAAAGGCCTGAGGGATTTCTGATCAGAAAATGACAGTCTGCAGGGAGACCGACCACTCAGCTCCTCCTCGGCAAAACCCGGCCTCGGACGTGTCCTGTGTTAGCTCAGTGCACTGAGCCCACCGCTGCCTGCTATTCTGAGTATTGGTTTCAGTTCATCAGTGGCTCAGGCAGATATGAAGGGGGTGGGGGAAAAAAGAAAAGGAGGGAGAGAGAGAGAGAGGAGAGGGGAGAGGGGGAGAGAGAGAGAGAGAGAGAGAAAGGAGAGAGGAGAAAGGAGAGAGTGACAGAGAGAGGAGACAGAGAGAGGAGAGTGAGAGAGACAGAGCGAGACAGAGAGAGAGAGAGAGAGAGAGAGATATCGAGATCTGCTCAATTCCAACCGAACAAACTAATTTGGGACTCAGTTGGATTTAGGATAGTTTCGAGACCACCAAGCTCATTATGACTTGGCATTTTATATTTGCCGAGGAAGTTCTAATAATTTATTAATCCTTCCATGACCCGGAGCTCCAGATTGAGCTTGTGAATAAAACAACAGGCCCGAGCTGCGACTGGCCTGAACTCCCTTCTCCTTTATCATATCAATTGGTAAGGAAAACACTGGGCTCTTCTCCCACCACGCTAAACGCAGGGCGGAAAAAAGCACCCGGAGAGAGGCGAACAGAAAGTCGCGAGCCTGGCCAGTCTTCAGAGAAGGGCAACGCCAACCAATTTTCACTTATTAATTGAGAACAAAGTCAAATGGACGACAGCGACGCTGGCCAGGCGGGGGCGACGCCAGAACTCGGCCCGCGGACGGGACAAGGCCCGCGGAGAGCAGCGCTCTGGGGGGATTGGGCAAGCGGGAGTAATGCTTCTACCCTTGACCCAGAAATCTGACTTCTGAGATTTGTAAAACAAATAAATAAATAAAAATAAAAGGGGAAAAGGTCACGCATCCTGCAGCGCCCTCCATCCCCCTCCTCTACTTTTTAAATTTTTTTTTCTTTTTTTTTTGCTTTTTGGGTCACAACCGGCAATGCACAGAGGTTACTCCTGGCTCTGCACTCAGGAATCACCCCTGACGGTGCTCAGGGGACCCTATGGGATGCTGGGAATCGAACCCAGGTTGGCTGCGTGCAAGGCAAATGCCCTACCCGCTGTGCTATTGCTCCAGCCCCCACCCCTCCTTTATTTTTATTCTCTGTGATAAGCTCGAAGCTCCCGAGGCTGCCCTAGGAGACTCGGTCCTAAATGCAACCGCTAAAACATGAAGAAAACTCTAGCAACCTGCAGTTAGTTGCTTATGATTTCATGACAAGCCACAAAGAGAATCTATCATGCAAACTGCGGGCGCAACCCCAAATGGGTGGGAAATGACAGTGAGAAAACAGAAAGAAGATGGCCTGAGGAGTGCCTCTGATGACATGGCAGTGCCCTCCGTGGCTTACTGCAAACTCCCCGGAACGATGGTCTGCTTCCGAGAGGAAAGCGGGCTGAGCCCTAAGAACACTGACCTTCGTCGTCACCGTCGGAGACATTCCCGGCGGCTGTGTCTTTTTCCTTGAGGTAGTCGAGCAGAAAGCGTTCAATGTCTTCGGCGGTGGGGGTCTTCTGAAGCCCCTTTTCGGCAGGTGGTCTTCCCTCCTCCCCTGGGCTTTGCTCTTGGAGCTGCAGGAGGAGGGTCTCTGGGGCTGGGAACCACTGGGCTGTAAATGAATGTCACAGTGGCATTCGGGCTTATCAACAGGGTTAGCAATCTGTCACGGTCACTTCATTCCCCTAGTCACCCACCTGCCCAACTGCCCACGTCCCAAGTATTTTCTTATGGCCGATTATATTATTATTATTATTATCATCATCATTCCTATGGTCTAGGGTGCTTTTGCACTGTATGTCCCACCTGGCTAAGTCCAACTCGCTTTTTTGCTTTTCATGTCTAATAAGGCAGCCTGGGTCTTAAGTCCCCATCTTAAATTCTTTCACGCCTGGCAGTGTTCCGAGGGCCATACAGGATGCGGGTGATCAGACCCAGGTGAGCTGTATGCCAGGCAAGTACCCTATTCATTGCCCTCCAGCCCTAGTTTTAGGTTCTTTCTATGCTGTCTTATACAGCGCCATGTTCTTTCTTTCCAAATCACCGCAGCACGACTTGTTAAAATATCCATTTTTGTGTGTGTGTGCTATTGTCTAATCTCTTCTTGGCCTCGAGGACCCACGGGTCACCACTGGAGATCCAATATGCCCAGTGGAGAGGGGGTGCTCCCAATCTAAGCTGGATGAATACATAAACTAGCCTGGGGAAGACACAAATGCAACAATGGTCTGAGTCGAGTCAAACTGTGCGGGAGCAGAAAAGTCTTGAGAACAGCATCACGCATGCAGATGGTATCTTAGGCTACTCCTGACACTGCAGAAGTCACCAGAGTACAAGCTTTCACCATCAGCAAACCAGTGGGTTTTCTTTCTGCAACTGTTTTCAGAGCGGTCACCTCCTTCGATGCTCAGTATGGAGCTTCAGGGCACCAGGGCTGCGGTCCATGATGCCCAGGAGGCCTTGCGGGTGTAACTCGGGGCACGCACGTACTAGGTATATGGTCGACCACCTGAGCTCTCCTCCCCGACCCCGTTCTGGTGGTTCTCAAAGGGTGTCTGGCGGGGTCTCAGCGAGGGCTGCAGAAAGACATGTCTCGGGGATGACAACAGGGAGGGTGTTGGAGAGAAGCAGGCTCAGGGGACATGGGTTCGGACTTTCTGGAACCTCCTGAACTCCAGCAGATTTTCAATTATTTTTTCATGTGGGGGACCCCTGAGGCTTCATTAACAAAACAAAACCAAAAAAGATCTTTCTACTTAAGAGAATGAAGAACAACAAAATGCCCTATGCAGACAGGGCAGAGGCCCAGGGAGAGCCCCTGAGGACCTTCAGCGCAACCCAGGAGCATCTGGGCAGATGTCCAGAGTCAGGGCAGCAGCAGATGGGAGGGGCAGGAGCAGGCCAGCGCAAGCCACAGAGCAAAGGGCAGCGCGGAGGGCCTTCACTCTGCCATTCGAGTTCCATATGTCGGGGTATGCTGTGACCCTTCTCCAGTGCCCGTCCCCACAAATGAACCAGGTCCTTAGTGCCTGCTGAGGGACCATATTCCCAACTAGTTTAAGTCGGGACCCAGTGTTTACACTGCTAAGGAGACACTCTCCAAAGATGATTCCAGTCTAGTGCTAAACATTAAAACATCTTTGTTCGCAAATGGCTTTTAAACGTGTGAAAAGCAGCTCAACCTTCCACTTAATGCAAATTAAATGACAATAAGGTGCTATTTTTCTCCTATTGGATCAGCGAAGATCAAAAAGCTGGGTAATAATACAGCATGGGCGAGGGCACGCAGAATTGGCACTCTCTTACATCGCTGATGGGAGTTTAAATTGGTACCTCTTTGGAGAGCAATTTGATACTCCCTATCAAAAATTTAAATGCATTACCCTCTGAGCATGCATCTCTCTCGGGAATTTACCCCAATTGACAGACTCGTTCAAAACGACCCACAAAACTCACTGTTGCGTCCTTTATTTTTGTGGTGGCAAAATACCAGGAAGCACCGAGGTGCCCACCACCACAGGGACTGCCTAAATAAATCATGGCGCAGTCACATCACGGAGTGTTACACAGCCACCAGGAGCAGCGTGCCAGTCCTCCACGCGGGGAACGCAGTACCGACGCCAAGAGCTTAGGGACGTGGGGCAGCTGTTTTCTCCTTTCCAACCTGCCCTACATTTTTCTAAGGAATGATCCGCCAAGTCCTGGCGGGCGCATCCCAGGACCCGACTGGCGACGCGTACCCTCGCTTGTGCTACCAGATGCGTGTGAAGCATGCATGTTTACGGAATCTCAGCTTCTGGAAGCACGTCCTCTGACACCGCACTGCCAAGTCCACCTTGGAACTGGCCGCCACGGGAGCAGAGGGCCCCGAGGGCGGAGTTAACGCCCAGTACACAGGGGTCCCGGGCTCCCTCTTTGGAACTTCTATGGCCTCCCCGAGCATCACAAGGTACTCTCTCCTCCCCACAAATACCCAACCCCCAAGCAAGGGTGGCCATGAGTCAGCCAGTTCAGTGACGAGTACAGACTCCAGCACCCAGCGTTAGCTGGGTTGGTAGGTGAGTGCTCACCCCAGCATGGTCCCCCTTCCCGCTCACAATGCAAGAGCATTCTGGGGTAGCTCCAAATGCTCACAAAACCTACCCCATAATCTCCCCCCACCCCAACTATGTGCTCAAGTCAATCTCAACCATCTCATTTTCCTCTCCACTATAGATGCTTATACCTCAATAAATGGGCTGGAGCGGGTAGGGCATTTGCCTTGCACGCGGCCGACCCAGGTTCGATTCCCAGCATTCCATATGGTCCCCTGAGCACTGCTGGGGGTAATTCCTGAGTGAGGAGTGACTCCTGTGCATCTCCAGGTGTGACCCAAAAAGCAAAAAAAGCAAAAAAGAAAAATGAGGGGCTGGAGCAATAGTCCAGTGGGCAGGGCATTTGCATGTGTTAGATCCAGGTTGGACCCCAGCACCATATATGGTCCCTGAGCCCACCAGGAGTGATGCCTGAGTGCAGAGCCAGGAGTAAGCCCTGAGCACTGTCGGGTGTGACCCCACCCCACCACCCCTTTTCTCCCTGCATAAGTATTATTCATGATTTCCAGTTTTGGGATAACCCAAGACATGCCATACCAGGGAATTCACTGTTCAAACCCAAGCTGAGATCTCTCTTGAAAGGAAATATCAGACAGGCCCCTCTTAATGCAGTTCCTCCTCTCAAGCCCAAACAGGGTCTGGTACTGCCGAGCACCTGAGGGTGGACCCTCGTCCCAACTCTCTGAGCACCGTGTCAGTCTCCGGGGCTGCGACTCAGCTGGGCAGTGCCAGGGAGCCTCCCACCCAGGACGGCTGTGGCCAACATGGTACGCAGCTTTCAGGAGGTCGCCAAGTCAGACTGTCCCAGGGTCCACAGGCCGTGGGGTGCTTTCTCTCCCACGAGCCCCCTCATCTCATCTCCCTCCACAAAGACCTCGCCTCCATTCCCCACAGTCCTCGCACCCTTTCTGCCTTCCTGCCTTTGCACGTGCTGTTTTCTTTGCCTGGTCCTTCTTCAGAATCATAAAAAAAAAGGAAGAAAAAGAAAAAATCAGGGGTGTCAGCCATCAGTGCTGAGGGACTTCTCCTCATCCTTCAGGCCTCAGAGGAGCGTCACTGTCTCCAGGAGGCCCTCAGACCACCCCGCTGGGCGCAGGTGTCCTCCTGCGTTAGACCCTCTGTTTCCATGGCTGCCTGTGATTTTGTTTTATTGTTTTTGTTTTTTGGATCACACCTGGTGATGCACAGGGGTTACTCCTGGCTCATGAACTCAGGAATTACTCCTGGCGGCGCTCGGGGGACCATATGGGATGCTGGGAATTGAACCCGGGTCAACCACGTGCAAGGCAAATGTCCTACCCGCTGTGCTATGGCTCCAGCCCCCTGCCTGTGATTTTAGACTCTCAAGAAACTGGCTTATGGATGTGCTGATGGGGTTGTCATTTCTCCTGCGGTAGTGGGAGGCTCCCTGAGTTTATCCATCTTGTTCATGGTCCCCTCTGCTTTGCTTAGCAACACGTCTCACATGGGGCAGGTCCTCTTCACTATGCAGAGGGCTGTTCCTGCTCCAGTCACCTCCTCCGGGAAGGCGGTTCAGGGTTCCCTGGTCTTCCCAGCCATCTCTGCAGCCTGGAGGTGAGGGATTAGTGGTGCTAGAATATACCGGAGAGAGGCTCTTTAGAAGACAAAAGGAACCCTGGCAGGTGGGGCATCACTCTTTTCATTCAAAGACTGACAGCAGTTTAGGTATTCTCTTTCTTACAGTCCAAGATTTTCCACTTTAATGGTGGCTAACACCTCTAATAGATATCCAAAAGGATTAAAGGCAAGAAGATAATGTCAGACTATTGTCTGAGTTTTAAAGGCAGTTTCTAGGGGCCAGCAGACAGGGCAGCTTGCCTTGCAGGTGGCCAAACCTGGCAGCTCACAGTCTCTGGGGCAGTGCCAGGAGTGATTCCTGAGCACAGAGCCAGGAATCAGAGTAACCCCTGAGCACTGCCAGGTGTGGCCCTCAAACCAAAATAAATAAAGGCATTTTTGGGGCTGGTGCATAGCATTGTGGGTAGGGCGTTTACCTTGCACGCGGCTGACTCAGGTTCAATTCCCAGCATCCCATATGGCCTCCCGAGCACCACCAGGAGTAATTCCTGAGTGCATGAGCCAGGAGTAACCCTTGTGCATCGCTGGGTATGACCCAAAAAGAAAAAAAAAAAGGCAGTTTCTAGACCTGTTATTTGAGAGATGACCGTCACTAGCCACATGTGCTATTAAAATTAAAAATTCAATTCCTCATCTACAGTAGATCAGACAGAAAGTTTTCTTGGACAGCACTCTTCCGGAGTATTGGTGGGCTGAATAATCAATGCTATTCCTATTTTCCATGACCCTACAGAGAGTTCCCGGAGGGCTGTCAAAAGCAGTTAGGGTAGACTGGAAAGAACAAAACTGTTCTAAATCCTGACATCAAGCAAGACTGTTATTGAGACCCAGGCTAAAAAAAGGATCCTAATGAGCCTTAGTTTCCCTCCCTGTTTAAAAAAAGTTTCTATTTTATTTACAGGTTTTAGATCCCTGACATAGATCAGGAATTCAATGTCCACTGTCCACTGTCCTCCCGTTGTTCATCGATTTTCTCGAGCGGGCCCAGAACGTCTCCATTGTGAGACTTTGTTGTTACTGTGTTTGGCATATCGAATACGTCACGGGTAGCTTGCCAGGCTCTGCCGTGCGGGCGAGATACTCTCGGTAGCTTGCCGGGTTCTCCGAGAGGGGCGGAGGAATCGAACTCGAGTTGGCCATGTTGGCTGCGTGCAAGGCAAACGCCCTACCGCTGTGCTATCGCTCCAGCCCAGGAATTCAATACATGGCAGAATTTGATCACTTGATCACTTGACTTCCTGTTAATCGTCCATTTGCTTGAGTGGGCGCCAGTAACGTGGCAGAATTTAAAAACAAAAAACAAAAAAACAACAAAAAAAGGGGAAACCCTCCCTTGCATAGGAATGATTCAAATAATGTCCTACACTTTTTTTTTTTGCTTTTTTTGGGTCACACCCAGCGATGCTCAGGGGTTACTCCTGGCTTTGCACTCAGGAATCACTCCTGGTGGTGCTCGGGGGACCATATGGGATGCCGGGGATTGAATCTGGGTTGGCTGCATGCAAGGCAAATGCCCCACCCGCTGTACTATGACTCCAGCTCAAAAACATTTTTATAAAGGCTAGGCAACCAAGGATACTAGTCCGTCTGTGACCCCCCCTCCCCCCAAGAGAGCGGCGCTCAGCGTACCTAATGCCGCCAGCAGGGCGTGGAGGACGCCGACAAAGGAAGCCGCTCTCTTATCGTAAAACTGGTCCAGGGTGGCCAAGACGTCCTGCACCACGTCTGCCACCAAAGGGAGCAGGCTGGCATCGGAGTTCCGCAGCATGACTTCCAAGACCTTGGGGGTCTGGGGGTGCAGGGACAGGTGACGCAGATTCAAGGAGATGCCGTTCACCAGGTAGTCCGAGTTCTGGTTGATCAGGTGCTGCAGGGAGTCGTAGCCGCAAGCCTGACAGATGTCCAGCATGGCGCTGGTCGCGGCCTGGCTGATGAGCAAGGCCTGGTCTCCGGCCTTCTCCAGCACCGGGTAGAGGGCCGACACCAACAGCAGGCGGAAGTCCCCTCCCAGCGCGTACGCGAAGTGACCGATTCCTTCCAGCTGGATGCAGATCTGCCAGATGTTGCTGTTCATGGTGCAGACTGTGGGGCCGGGCTTTGAGACGGCGGGCAGAGGGGCCACTTGGCAGGTGTGGGCAGCAGCGGTCAGGGCCTGGGGGCCGCCCTGCTTCCTCACGAGCTCCTCTCCCGTCTCCTCCGCCTCCACACAGGTGACCAGATACCAGTTTTCCCGGCTCAAGTACTCTTCGAGGACCGACGTCACGATGCCGCGCAGGTCCTCGGCGCTGGTTTTCACGTGCTGCTCGTGGGGCTCGTCCACCTCCAGCCCCGCGGCCCCGATCACCAGCTCGTTAAGGATCATGGCCGCTTGCTTGCGGTGAGCCGCAGACTCCTGGTACAGGTCCAGGAAGTGGTCCACCAGCAAGTAGAGGTTCCCATAGAAACCGAGGAGCCGACAGACCTGCCGCAGGAGCAGGAAGACCCTCTCGTCCGTGAAGAAGCGGAAGTATCGCCTCTGCATGCGGTTCCAGGGCCGGCTGGCGGAGGTCTCCGGGGACGCGCTCAGATGGCCCGGGTCCCAGTGCCGCGCCTCCACGATTTTGATGTCCGCCACATCTAACTCCAGAACCTGGATGAGCGCGCGGGAGAGGCGCTGCAGGTGGGCCCCGGAGTTAAGGACGAAGTCCACTTTCGGGCCCAAGAGCTTCAGGTAACCGAGCAGCAAGGAGAGGGTGGAGAATTTGCCCTGGTCGTCGACGGAGTTCATGAGGCGGGGCAGAGACGTGGCGAGCGAATGCAGGTTCTCGGCCAGGACGTCGGCCAGGGCCCGGCTGCCCGCCACGACCTGCTGCTCTGCAAAGCGTCGCAGAACTTGACTGCACCGGGTTTGGACTTCGGGGCTCTCGTCGTTGACGAGACCCACCAAGGCCTTCAGGAGGGGCCCCGCGGACTCGAGCAGCGACCGGCTGCACTTCAGGAGGAGGGTCTCCACCAGGTCCACGAGCTCCAGCCGCACCCGCCAGTGCGGGTGGACGGAAACGGCCTCGGCGATCTTCTTGATGAGGACGGTCAACTTGGCGCCGGTGCTCTTGACCCAGTCCTCGGCCCGGTGGACCATCAGCTCGGCCACCCGGGGCTCCACGGCCGGCTTGGCGTGGACCTTGGGGGTCCTGCCGAGCTGGGCGTCGGCCACAACGAAGCTCACTGTCTTGTAGAAGATGTTGAGGGCGGACACGACGATGCCGTGCCCTTGCTTGAAGTCGCCGAGGATGATCCGGGTGAGGGCGGTGGAGATTCCCGGTAAGAAAGAGGCGAACAAGTCCCCCAGCTGCTGCTCCTCCTCCGGCCCTTCCCAGGCCCTCGGGTGGTCCGGGCAGCTGCACTGCAGGAGCAGCACCTGCAAGCACCTCAGGGCCGCCTTTTTAATCTGCTTGGACTTCTCCTGCTCGGCCAGGTCCAGGAGCAAGGACACGGCGAAGCCTAAACGAGGCAGGACGGCGGGCTCGTAAAACGCCAGGATGACGTCCCCGTAGGCCGAGTGCATCAAGGTGCCGAGGGCCTCGACCACCGCGAGCTTCAGCTCCTCGGACACGGCTGCGGGCTTCTGGGCGCTGGGCGAGTACAGGCAGGCCGAGAGCTCCGAGAAGAGCTCCCGGAGCAGCTCGCGCTCCCTCACGCACGTGGCGGCCAGCACGAAGGTGAGGCACTCCACCACGCTCTGCACCAGGCGCTCTCGCTTGGGGCCCGGCGTCTTCAGGGCGAAGCGCAGGGGGAAGAGCACGTACTGCTGGAGCTCCTGCAGGGCCGAGTCGCTCACGGCCCGCAGCTGCGCCCGCAGCTGCGCCACGTTCTCCACCGTCTGCGCCTTCGTGAGCTGCACGCAGACGGGACGCAGGGCCCCGAAGGCCTCCTCGGGCGTGTCGAACACGGCCATGGGGCCGGCTCCGGCCGCTCGGCCTGCGGGCTGCGGGAGGAAGGAAGGAAGAGGGTTAGAGCGCAGATGGCGCGACTTTGCGCCCACTCGCCGGACAGGTGCGGCGGGCAGGGGGCGGAGAGGGTCCCGGCATGAGGGAGCCCCCGGGAGAGCGAGGGTGTGAGGAGCAGGGGCCACGCAGGCTGTGAGGCAGGAAACGCCCGCTGTCTGAGTGCGAGTGGGGGGCTTGGGGAGAGAGTGCGCCCGTGGGAGGGCCAGGATGGGTGTCACCGGGGGTCATTCCAAGGGGTGAAGATCTCAGCCTGGGCCAGTGAGATAGTCCCAGAGGGTCTGTCTTTTTACCGGAGGGATGACACACGTCGAGTAAAATGTACAGCACTTGGATGTAGGCAGAGACCTTGTAAGTACTAGCCACCCCGGTTCTCAGGCGTTGCCCCCAGCCCTATGTGCCGGGGCCTTCCGGACAGATGACTGAGAAAGGATCTGTCGGCTGCCTCCCCTGCTCCCAGTCCAGAGGACTCATCACCGTCACCATGGGGGCGACAGGCAGGGCTGCCTGGGGAGTGTGGCAAGACCCGCTCAGCTTCCTAGTGCCACCTTGCAGAGCACCAAGGCTGGCCTGAAGGAGAGGGAGAGTGCCACCTTCCTGCGGGTGTCTAGATGAGATCATTTGTCTTCGGTCTCTGAGGAAGCAGGGAAGGGAGGAAGCCTGTGTGTTCTGCTGTATAGTGAGTGTCAGGGAAGGCAGGGCCTGTGGCCAGAGACCCTGGCCGCCCACTTACTGACGATGCTCTCAGGCCACGAAGCCATGAATGCTTAAGGTACCTTAAGCAGTAGTTGGCCTTACATAGTTGGAGCAACAGAAGGAAAGATCATCCTTCAGGGGCCAGAGAGCGACCTGGAGCTGCCTCTGAGGTGGCACATCGATGAACAGAACTACCTGAACAGACAAGAATTGAAAAACAGTCCTCGGACCAATAACGACATTCAATTATAAGCCAAAAGACAGTTCTTTGGTTTCTGATCCATATTCAGAAGTGATCAGGGCTTAATTCTGGCTCAGTGCTCAAAAATCACTCCTGGTGGGGTTCCGGGGATAAGCCTAGGTCAGCTGTGTGCAAGACCAGGGCTTACATGATGGACTATCTCGCCAGTCCCAAAGTGTACTTCCTAGAGTATCTTATTAGAGCCACTGTCACTGTCACTGTCCTTGAGCGGGTCCAGTAACATTGTGAGACTTATCGTTACTGTGCCTCATTCTATTAGGCATGTCTAATCAAACAGTTATCAGATATTCCTTCGAGTATTTAATTTCATTTGGGGCACCCAGTAATGATCAGGGGTCACTCCTGGCTCAGTGCTGAAGTCACTCCCAGCTATGTTGGGGGGTCAAGTGCTGGTGAATGAACACAGACCTCCCACACGGAAAGCATCTTGAACCATCTTCCTGGACCTTCATATATTTTAAAACAGAAGCAAAAAAGCTCAGTTGTTGAAAAAAAAAATTTTTTTTGGCAGGGAGTGGGAGGGTGTATACCCAGTGTTGCTCACTGCTTCCTCCTGGCTCTGTACGCACTCTTGAAGGCTGCGTGTGCTGCTGGGGATGGTACCAAGTCAACTGTGCACAAGGCAAGCACACTACCCGCTGTGCCGTCTCTCTGGTGAAATTATTTTTGTTAAAAGATGTTTTTTGAAGCACATGAGAAAATGCTCTACATCATTAATCATCAGGGAGATGCAGATCAAAACCACAATGAGATACCATCTCACACCTCAGAGACTGGCCCACACTGAAAAGAACAAAAGCAACCGATGCTGGCACGGATGTGGCGAGAAAGGGACACTCCTTCACTGTTGGTGGGAATGCCGACTGGTTCAGCCCTTCTGGAAAACAGTATGGACGTTCCTCAAAAAATTAGAAATTGACCTCCCATTTGACCCAGCAATACCACTCCTGGGAATATATCCCAGAGAGGCAAAAAAGTATAGTCGAAGTGACATTTGCACTTGTTTGTTCATTGCAGCACTGTTTACAATAGCCAGAATCTGGAAGAAACCTGAATGCCCACGAACAGATGACTGGTTAAAGAAACTTTGGTACATCTACACAATGGAGTACTATGTAGCTGTTAGAAAAGATGAAGTCATGAAATTTACATACAAGTGGTACAACATGGAAAGTATCATGCTAAGCGAAATGAGTCAGAAAGAGCGGGATAGACACAGAAAGACTGCATTCATCTGGGGGATATAAAGTAACAAAGTATGAGATTAATACCCAAGAATAGCTGAGATCAGCACGAGGAGGATTACTCCATAGCTTAGAGGCCAGCGGGGCATTCTAGGGGAAAGGGCAGCTCAGATAGAGAAGGGAGCACCAAATAAAGGGTGTTTGGAGGATCCTCCCAGGAGGGGAGATGCATATTGAAAGTAGACTATGGACTGAACATGTTTGCCACTCAATGCCTCTTTTGCAGACCACAACACCCAAAAGAAGAGAGAGAACACAAGGGATTGCCCTGCCACAGAGGCAGGGTGGGATGGGGGGATGGGGGTGGGGGGGATATTATCCATGGTGGTGGAAAATGGGCACTGGTGGAGGGATGGGTATTTGATCATTGTATAATCGAAACCCAAGCACAAAAAATTGTAAATCTACAACTGTACCTCATGGTGTTTCACTAATAATAAAAAAAAAAAAGAAAAAAAGAAAAAAAAAGATTTTTTGGGGGGGTGGGGGGGCTGGAGCAATAGCACAGGGGGTAGGGTGTTTGTCTTGCACGCGGCCGACCTGGGTTCGATTCCCAGCATCCCATAGGGTTCCCTGAGCACCGCCAGGGGTAATTCCTGAGTGCAGCGCCAGGAGTAACCCCTGAGCATCACCAGGTGTGACCCAAAAAGCAAAAAAAAAAAAAAAAAAAAAAAAAAAAGTTTGGGGCCAGGGGTGAGGGCTTGGGGCTTCCTGAGTGGCCAGGTAATCACTGGCATCGCAGGCCCGACCAGTGCTTCATCCTCAGGTCTCACACGCAGCCTCTGTCCTGGCTGGCTGAGAATCACTGGGAGGGGGGCGTCCCTGGACCCCGTGAGCCCCACTAGGCAGCACTGCCAAGATCCATTAACAGTCTGGAAGATGAAGCAGAGCTATCTCCAAGAGACACACACCCTGTGAGACTGGCTGGGAAAATCAACATGAAACCTGCTGGAATCCTGGAAGGAGAAAAAGGAGCCAGACGGAGACACTAAAGCAAAGCAAAACAAAACAAAACCTAGACTTTTTCCTGAGCTGCAAACAGGCTTCTTTGAAGAGAACGAAGAATGAACAATACACACCGCATTCTATTCCTCAGCACTAAAGGGGAAAAAACGCAAACAAACCACTCTGAAGTTTTCAGGAGAAAACAGCTAATGACAAAGTAAGGGAAAACGAGCCTGGCTGTGAACTGTTCATTTCCAACAACAGAGAGCAGACGACGGAATCACCTTCTTGAGACTTCACAGACACAGCGTTCCCCAGACTGCTAGATGGCCAAGGTGTCTGAGTGGACAAAACCAAGGAAGAGAGGAAGATGCTCAAGAACGGGCTCCTTTCAAACAACGAAACTCAAAACTAGGGAAATGAGTGAAAAAGGAAGTCTTTCTTCTTTAAGTCATGGGAAACTGGTTTCAAATCAAAAGTTTAGGTGTGTCTGGAGCGAGAGCTTGGTGGGCTGAGTGTGTGCACTGCATGAGCGGGGGATGTGCAGCATGTGCCGGGTCATTCCAGACGCTGCATGGCCCAACGGGCACTGCTGGGAAGGAGCTGGAAGCACAGAGCTGGGAGCACAGAGCTGGGAGCACAGAGTTGGGTGCAGCTCCCGGCACTAGTGGGTTGTGGATCATAAACCAAGAAAAAAAAAGAAAAAAACTTCTGTGGAAGCTGAACATGAAACACAGATAAAACCAGACAGTCTCTGCTTAAATAAAGCTGGGATGAGACAATGAACTTGTGGCTCTGAGCCTCTCCTTTACCTTGAGTTTCTTTTTGGCTTTTCGTGCCACACCCAATGATGCACAGGGGTTACTCCTGGCTCGGCACCAGGAATTACTCCTGCTGGCGCTTAGGGGGCCATATGGGATGCTGGGGAACTGAACCTGGGACGGCCATGTGCAAGGCAAATGCCCTACCCGCTGTGTTATCGCTCCAGGCCCTTGAGTTTCAAGGAGGCCGAGTGGGGTCCCCTGAACTACGTTCCAGATTCCGTGGTAAAGATTATCGAACAAACCATAACACCCAAAGGGAGAGAGTGAGTGAGAGGGAATGTGCTTGCCACAGAGGCACGGGGTAGGAAGGGGTGAGGGTGGCGGGAGGGGTACTGGGAACATTGGTGGTGGAGGATGGGCACTGGAGGAAGGATGAGTATTCGATCACTGAATGACTGAAATGTAATCATGAAAGTTTGTAGGTCTGTAACTGTATCTCAATGATTCATTAAAAAAATAAATAAATAAAAAACAAAAAAAAAATGGTCAAACAACTAAGGAAGAGGCACCGTGTCTGACTGGGATCTGCTGCCTTTCTCCTTCCCCTCGGAGGCTCAGGGGTTTCAGCTGAGCCCGAGACCTTCGCATCTCTGCTTGCTTCCACCGCCCTCGACCTCCATCAACTCTGCTCCTACATCTCTCAGACCCAGCGGTGGTGGTCATGACCTACTTCCCGTCAGGCCGGTGATCCGTTCCCTCTCTGGGCCCTCTTCTTGCGTGCCTGCTGCTCGTTCTGAACCCACATTCCACCTGGAATAAACGACCTTTCTGAGACAGGAACTTCCTGCCGTTGCTCTCTGCGGCCTGCCTTCCGAGGAAGACTGCTCATGGGCCACGGAGTCGCCTCTCACGCACCCACCTCACTTCCCATCCCCAAACCAAACAATCTGCGATTCCCCTCGGCAAAGGTGGGGCCATTTCACCGCTGCCTTTGCCCAGCAGCTCCACACGTCACCACTGTACTTAGCCAGTGGTGACACTGGCTGGTGTGTCTGCTGTGCCG